GAAAATGTGCCTTCATGTAAATTTTATCACTCGTAAATAAATGGCCTTGCTACAAATCTGGCTGCCAATCCCCTTTATCTTCCTTTTTTTTCCTTTTTGCGTAAAGTTATACTGGCCGGTAACTCTGAACGTCTCGCCTCGTTTGCCGAAAACCCCCTTTCCAACCCGGTGTCAATAGCGTTTTTTATCTCGAAAATTCACACTTTGCTATCGCTCTTATTCGAGACATACTTTTGTTCACGTTCACTATGAAGCGGTATATGTGTAAATTTTCCTATGTTGATGCACTCCCAGGCGAATTCAGCATGAATCGAGCAAATATCAGTAAAGTGACACTCAACGCGAAAGAGTGAGTGCGTTTTGTGCTGAACTCACATTCTGTTTGCTCGGCATTGGTTACCATATCATATAAATCGATCTAACCTTGACAAAATTATGTTCGAATCGAACAGTAAGTGCGATCTATGCCACATGAATCAAGCAAATATCAGCAAACTGATACGCAAAGCGAAAAAGTGGGTGTGATTTGTCCCGACATCACCTACCGCTGGCTCGGAATCTGTATATATGTAATCAAGCAAATATCAGCAAATTGATATCCAAATTGGAAAATAAATGCGAGTTATGCCGCACTCACATTCGCCTGGCTTGCCACCTGTGTATATGTACATTTAAAAGTCATATCTTTACACATACCGAGCGAACCGAAGGCGAGTTCGGCAAAAATCAAGCAAATATCAGCAAAGTGATACCGGAACCGAAAAAGTGGGTGCGATTTGTCCCGAACTCATCTGCTCTAGGCTCGGAATCTGTACATATGTACATTTAAAATTCATATCTTTACCAATGCCGAGCGAACCGAAGGCGAGTTCGGCATAAATCAAGCAAACATCAGCAAACTGATACCGGAACCGAAAAAGTGGGTGCGATTTGTCCCGAACTCATCTGCTCTAGGCTCGGAATTTGTATATATGAATAAATGCAAGTTATGCCGCACTCACCTTCGGCTGGCTAGAAATCTGTGTATATGTACATTTAAAATTCATATCTTTACCAATGCCGAGCGAACCGAAGGCGAGTTCGGCATAAATCAAGCAAACATCAGCAAACTGATACCGGAACCGAAAAAGTGGGTGCGATTTGTCCCGAACTCATCTGCTCTAGGCTCGGAATTTGTATATATGAATAAATGCAAGTTATGCCGCACTCACCTTCGGCTGGCTAGAAATCTGTGTATATGTACATTTAAAATTCATATCTTTACCAATGCCGAGCGAACCGAAGGCGAGTTCGGCATAAATCAAGCAAATATCAGCAAAGAGATGCCGGAACCGAAAAAGTGGGTGCGATATGTCCCGAATTCATCTGCTCGAGGCTCGGAATCTGTATATATGTATATACATTTAAAAATCATATCTTTACACATACCGAGCGAACCGAAGGCGAGTTCGGCATAAGTCAAGCAAACATCAGCAAACTGATACCGGAACCGAAAAAGTGGGTGCGATATGTCCCCAATTCATCTGCTCTACGCTCGGAATCTGTATATATGTACATTTACAAATCATATCTTTACAAATGCCGAGCGAGTGGCTAGAGGATACCTTAATTAAGCGTTTTCAACAAAGAAATTTGCGGGAAAAGCCCCAAATATTCCAGAATCTTAATACAAAGTTTTCATAATTTCATCGAAATGTGAGGTTATATTATGTTACACCATATTAGCATGATTACTTTTAAGTTGGTAAGAGACATTCCAACTTAAATTTCTTAAGAGTTTATGTTATTTTTCACGATAGTACTGTAGAATTGTTTCCCAAATTTGGTTTTTAGCCGTCCCTAAAAATTTGCCGCTATGGGCCCATGCCAAATCCGGCCCTAGTGATTCTGGTATAGGATATTTTAGAATAGTTGAATAAGTGTTTCCCTAATTAACACTCAGGTGACCCATTTCTGCACCACAATACGTTCTACGCTGCACGGTTCTGGCATTGCGATGGATACGACATATTAAAAGCCTCATTAAAGCAGGAGCTGCAAAATGGTACGTGACTCGCACGAAGACACACCTTTCAACATACGTTCTCCCTGGTTTTCCATTATAGCGAATTGCTTCATTAATTACCGCCATGGGCGTACGTATTTCGACAAAGGATCTCGTTGCACATAAACTGATTTAAATCGGTGCTCATCACCATACAGGCAAATCATACGTAAACCGCAACATATGATACAGACAATTCGTGTTTGAATGACCGAATTAAATCCAGGCAGGGAGGGAGAATAAAATAATCTCGAACTGTGAAAAGGGGGCACGGTTCAATTATAGGAAGCGCGAAATTTCGCGAGCGGCAATAAAAAGAAAAGCAATTGACACAACGACGCCTCCACCCCGAGCGTCGCGCCGCCGCCGCCGTCTCAAAATATTTTCAATTAGTCCGCCGCTATGGGCAGTTAAAAGTGGCCTCGCGGCGATACAAATTTAATCATTAACCTTCCCCCGATTAAACCCTAACATATTTCGGAATGTAAATTATATCCGAAGCTCGCGCATTTACAAACCAAATTTTCTCGCATTTGCGTTTTTCGGGCGATACGGGATTTATCGTAGATAAGGAGCGCCCCCTCCCCCCCCCCTTCCACCGCGCGCACAAAAAGTTGATCTACACGTTTTTGCTCTCCGTTACGGGCGCCGGTCTTTTGATCTAATACCGCGTTTTCCTTCATTTACCCACGTCAGTCACTCTCGTTTACACCTCGTCGGGTCGACTGCGACATTTAATTTAACTTCGTTAACACGCGTGTTGGGGGAGAGAGTTTGAGATGCGGACAACTTTGGGGCGCGTTAACTGTTAAAGTGACGGGCGCACGTTACAATAAGGAAATTCGTCTCAATACGGAACATCTTTTTTTGCGAATGGGATTCTTTATTTCAGGATTCTACATTTGAACCCCGCCGTTGAGCAAGTTGTTTTTTCAATTCTTGCGTTTGGATACCTCAACTAGCTCTAAATGCACACGTGAAAACCTTTACGCAAAATTTGCCCCACATTTGGCGCCCGAGCAACGCACTGGTCGATGATCACCAGGAGCGGTGGGCAATCCGATGCCAGTGCAAGTGCGTTTGTCATTAAAGTGTACGGTGCCTTGGATGATACGAAGGTAGTAACTTCGAAATTCCCCAATTTATGAAACCCCCAATCAAGAATGATCGATTAATTTGATTACTGAATCTTAAAACAACTTTCCACAAATTTATAAATAGATATTTCGGGCAAAAATTCGCATGTATAGTAAAACACATATAAAGCACTAGAAAACCTGAAATCAACCAAAAGAAAACATGCCAATCCGTTGAATAGTGCCTGAAGGGCCTCGCTCTACTCGTAATCTGCTTCTATATCAGGTGCGGTACTTAAATGGCCAACCTCTTCAGAAGGAAGTGGCGGTCTTCAACAACATACGCGTTTCAAGCTCGCTCATAACCTAACCGAGAGGGTTAAGACACTGAAGTTTATAAATTCCTTAAATGTAATAATAATAAATAGTTATCAACTAAGACGTTAGAGTTACGGAAGTGGTCCCATACGCCGCCAAACAAGAATTGTAGGTACAGTAAAACGTATCCGGAATTTATACTGGTAGGTACTTAAAATTAAAACCCTAAAATAAATCAAAGGTAACCCCTCTTCTTCGATAACCTAAAATTTACATACCTCTTAAATAAGTAGGTTAATCGTAGATGAGAATTGCAGTATGACAAAGTACAGCCGAATCTAAAGAAGGGGAGAATCCTCACTATGGGAGTTATTTAGGTGAAATCCGTCTTCTGAAACCCCGAATTATGAATCCAATCGTCAGAGATCAATATATCAAGATGATGGGAATTAAAATTCCATGCGTTAGAACTCACGCTTCAGTTGTTTGTTTAAACGAAGGGCAACTCTATACGGATTACGAAAGGAAGAAGGATGCAAATCGACACGCACTAATCAAGGCAAGAAAATGCGCCGAAAAATGGCGTCTAACAATAGGTCGAGCCATCTATTAAACTGGTTTAAATGTTACGGGATCTTTCAACAAGTAATAAACCGTTTCGAATGTGTCAACGTTGCAAAACGCGAAAAGCGCCCTCTTTGCGAGCGGCGGTCCGGGACTCGCGCCATTCCCAAACCCAAGTTTTGCAGCTAATTCCACCACGGTACAAAAACGCCTCTCCGCGTCTTTCACGATTTCTGAAAACCGAAATGCGACGCTCCCCAGGTGCCCAGGGGAATTTCCCGGTAGCCATTTTCTCAGGATCGAAGCGAATAAGGAAGGTCTCATAAAAATTTTATCAAAATCGAATCAAGAGAGAAAGGACTGTAACGCATATTCTTAATCGATATCGGGGCGCCATCGGGTCGCCATCAAGTCGATAAAGGATTAGTCCCGGCGATAAGGAATGGAGGCGGATGTGACGCATTCTTATATCGAATCGTGTTTAGTAGAAGTTTCAAAGTCGATGCCGAAGTGATAAATAGTGACATTCGCGCTCGTGTTATAAATTTGCATAGTAAGTGATAAATAATAATTAACTGGTATAGATCAATCTATTTGTGCACCATTTTAACTACGTTACACTGGTGTGGAGTGTATTTAAGAGGACAATCAGTGAAACTATGCCAGATCCGCGTCAGGAAAAATGGAACAACTGCTGCAATGAGTCCAATAAACCTAGTACGATAAGCCACAAAGGGGATCCCAATAAAGAATCACGGATGGATAGCCAAACATTATTTTCCTCCATTCCTGCTCAGATTTTTAGGGATTTTCTCACGTTTTGCCTATTGGGCGCAATTTTTGGGCAGCACTTCTTATTGCTCACACTTAACTTTTCGTGTTTGCAACTGTCGGGCTCTTCCGCATCCATATATGAGTAGGTAGGTAAAGTATTGTTCTCGTTCTTGCTGTTCTTCCTCGTGTTCTTCCTGTTTCTCCTGCTCCTCAAGCTGTTCTTGCTATTCCTGCCTTTCTTGCTCTACTTGCTCTACGTGCTCTTCTAACTCTTCTTGCTCTTCTCGTTCTTCCCGCTCTGTTCTTCTTTTTTTGCCTATTAACACTGTTCTTCCTGCTCCTCCTGTTCCTTTTGCTCCTTCTGCTCCTCTTGCTACTCTTGGCATTCTTGTCCTTCTTGCTTTTTTTGCTCTGCTTGCTCTGTTTTCTCTATTTGCTCATCTCGCTCTTCTGGTTCTTCTCGTATTTATGTTCTTCCTGTTCTTTCGGCTCCTACTGCTCCTTTTGTTCCTCCTGATCCTACTGATCTTCATGCACTTTGTGCTCTTCTTGTTTCTGTTGCTTCTGTTGCTCCTCTTGCTTCTCCTGCTCCTCTTGTTCTTTTTGCTCTTGTTGCTTCTCTTACTCCACCTGCTCCACTTGTTGTTCTCGTTCTCGTTCTTCCGGTGCTATTATTCTTGTTTTTTTCCTGCTCCTCCTGGTCCTTTTGCTCCTCTTGCTCATCCTGATCTTCCTGCACTTCGTGCTCTTCTTGCTGTTTTTGTTTTTGTCCTTGTTCTTGCTTTTGCTCTTGCTCTTGTTCTTGTTCTACGTGCTCTTCTTGCTCTGTTTGCTCTTCTCGTTCTCGTCCATGTTCTTCCTTTTCCTCCTCCTCCTCCTGCTCTTCTTGCTCTTCTTGCGCTTCTTGATCTTCTCGCGCTTCTCTTTCTCTTTCTCTTTCTCTTTCTCTTTCTCTTTCTCTTTCTCTTTCTCTTTCTCTTTCTCTTTCTCTTTCTCTTTCTCTTTCTCTTTCTCTTTCTCTTTCTCTTTCTCTTTCTCTTTCTCTTCTCCTTCTCCTTCTCTTTCTTCTTTCTCTTCTCCTTCTCTTTCTCTCCTTCTCCTTCTCCTTCTCCTTCTCCTTCTCCTCCTTCTCCTTCTCCTTCTCTTTCTCTTTCTCTGTTTCGCCTGTTATTCCTGTTCTTCCTGCTCCTCCGGTTCCTTCTGCTCCTCCTCTTCCTCTTGCTACTCCTACTCGTCCCTGCTCTTCTTGCGCTTCTTGCTCTTCTTGCTTTTTTTGCTCTTCTTGTTCTGCTTGCTCTTTGCCCTCTACTTGCTCTTCTCGTTCTCGTTCTTCCTGTTATTTATGTTTTTCTTGTTCTTGTTCTTGCTGTTCTTGTTCTGAAATTTTAACAGAAGCATCTGTTAACAAAAGCAATCGCTTGCTTCATATTTTTAGCGCATTTTTGCAAAAAATTTTTTTTGTAAAAAGTAGCTTTTAATCTCACTTTGGCTTCTCGTTCTCGTTCTTCCTGTTATTTATGTTTCTTTGTTCTTGTTCTGCCTGTTCTTGTTCTGAAATTTTTTGCAAAAAATTTTTTTTGTAAAAAGTAGCTTTTAATCTCACTTTGGCTGGCTCGGCTGGCTGCTGGCTGGCTGGTGGCTGGCTGCGTGGCTGGCTGGCTGGCTGGCTGCTGGCTGGCTGGCTGGCTGGCTGGCTGGCTGGCAGCAAATGTGGGCGCGTAGAAGAACTCTTGTAGAAAGGCAACGGGTGTACGTGTATCTACAGGGCCGTGAAATTTGTCAACCTTAGGGGCATGGCTACATGATGTGGGGTTGGCGACATCTGGGCGTCATCCTCGAGCGTAGTATACTAACGTGAAGGTTTTTCAGTTTTTCCCTATCTTCTACTACAGTTTTGGTCCGATTCTTTTGAAATTGGTGTCGTCGGAAAGATGTTGTAAACGCG